GTAGTTGTGAGATTCTGAAAAAGCCAGCAGAGTTAATATAGCACAGTCCGGATTTTCTACAGTTTTAGGGACCAGCACTCCCTAAGGATGGCATATTGTGCATTGCTGTCATGTGAGATATAAGAACTGTAAGATATATGTGACATATAAGAATAGACACCCTCTATGCGAGCTCATGTTGTGCTTTAAACTTAAACATATATTATATTTATATGGTGTGAGGAATAAAATAATTCATTATCAGTGCAATAAGAAGCATTAAGGCAGTCTTAGCCTTTGCTATGTGTCTGTATCCTGGCCAAGATGAAGTTCAAGGAGATGTCTTGAAGAGCGTGGCTGATTTTGCCAGTTTTTGCAGAGAAACATGAAGGACAAACATGACAATACTTCCTAGTTTTTGCTGAGCAGGCGGCGAAGGCTGGCATTGCCGGCAGAAGGCAGACGGGTACCAAGAATGGTATAGAGTGGAAGCATTGCTAAACTGATAAAAGCTAAGCAGTGAAGAACTTGGACATGAAGACCAATACTTTTGTAGGTAGTGTTTCCATACAAAGAAAAATGTTAGTTTTGTACAAAGAATCCCCTTGTCGGTGTTTGGCATCTGTTAAAATCTTCACTTTTTCTCTTGGTTCCCTTCCTTGTCGAAATGAATTATGTGATTTCAGTTTATTCTCTGGTGAATAATATTTACCACGTCACAATGTCTGCTTAGAAAAGGACTGTATCCAGGGTAACTTGTTTTTAGCTCGAGAGGACTGTGGTCCCTCCGAGTCAGGAAGGAGGTTGTAATTGATGAGGAAAAATAAGAAAAATCATATAATAATGTACAATAGCAGCCTGTGTTCAGCATGCGCTGTTCATACAGGGTCCAGCAAGGGCTGTCTGTACCTCCTTTGCACTAATGAGTACGCTGCATTAAATAGAGGGAAAATAATATTTTTTTTGTTTGTTATAGTTCAGCACCTCCTTTCATTTCATGATCTCTTTTTTACAGGTACCAGTTAGTAAAAGAAAAAAAAAAAACCAAAAAACCCAAACACATATAAGAATGGACACCCTCTATGCGAGCTCATGTTGTACTTTAAACTTAAACATATATTATATTTATATGGTGTGAGGAATAAAATAAGTCATTATCAGTGCAATAAGAAGCATTAAAGCAGTCTCAGCTTTTGCTATGTGTCTATATCCTGGCCAGGATGATACCAATGTCCAAACCACAACAACCTATATAACATTATTACAACGTGAGACACTGGAAAAGTAAATTTAATTTCTCTGGGCTGCATATTGTGCCCGTGTCATGGCTGGGAGCAGCCCAGCATTGTGTCTGTGTTTCCTCTCTCCATCCCACAGCTTCAACTGGTCCCTGTCCCACTCCCTCCTGGCCACACGTTCAGCATTGGTTCATAAGCTCCTTTCCGAAATACCAGCCTGACTTTCCTATTGACCTGAATACTCTGACCTGCAAATTGCTTTTATTCTCTAATTGCAGGGAAAACATGCGACTCCGCTGTCAATTACTGTGAGTGCAACCCCTGTTTCAACGGTGGATCCTGCCAAAGTGGCATGGAGGGGTATTACTGCCACTGCCCCTTCGGTGAGTACTCCTCGCCTCTCCTCTGCTTCATCTTCCCTTTCCCTGTTTCTACGCATTTATTTTTACCTATATAAAAGCGGTGGGTGTGTATATAGATCCTGGTCCCTGGGCAGGTGTTGGTCATGCCCCAGCCCCATCCTGTCCGTTTTTCCGCGGCTGCAAGAAGGAGAAAGCGATATTTTTTGGCATGGCAGGAGATGGAAGCACATGGCAGCGCTAGGGGGTGACTGTGGCTGCTGGGGGGGGGGCGAGGGGCACGCTGAGGGCTCCGAGCAGTGCTTGGTCTCCTGCCTAATATTAGGAGGGCTGAAGAGTGAGAGTGCTGGAAATCACATCGGTATTCTTGCATCCTACACACTTGCGACGTGCAAGGGAGTCGTCGTGATGTTGAACTAGAAAAAGGGACTCTGGGATGATATTGAGCGCAGAGGGCTTGGTTTTCTTTTGAGAAATTTGCCTAATTTCTCAAAGTATCTGTAAAGCAAGAAATAGTGAGCACCTGCATTTTTCTGCACGTGAGGAGCACAACATGAGATGCTGGCAGTTTTATATTTAGTAGATTTGATTAAGAGACCCTGACCAAATCAAACAAGCTTTGTTAGCCCACACCAGGACTTGCCCATTCAATTTACTATATACTAATAAAGTTCTGACTTCCAAAACCAGAGTATAATTCTGAAAATCAGAGAAGCATATAGTGCTGCCAAAATAATTTAATAATTATTAGAATTTAATTATCCCAAATTTGGTTTGTGGAATGAACCCAATAAAGAAATAAAACAACACAGATATTTCAAGGTATCATGGTATAATTGCAGCAAGATTGGTTTTGAATGCAGATGAATCCAGAATTGTCATTGTACGCACAAAAAAGCATGAAAGTAAATGCAGCAGATTAATCAAAAAACAGATAAACCTGAGAAATCATCAACGTTTTAAGACTGATGAAAACACTCACACAAAAGTATGGTTCTCAATACACATTTGTAACTACCTCTGAATATGATTTTCTACTAAGATGTGGAATAATTTCTTTATTCTGTTTTATTTCCTTTGGTTTATGTTTCCTCAGAGTTTATTCATTTCCTATATAGTCATAGTCCATTGTAAATGTAACTAATATTCATAAATTAAGTAGCTTTTTCTCACTGCTATTGCAGTTAAAAAACAAAATCCAGGGAAATTATGTGACAGAGTTCTGAAAAGAAATAGGTAGAATGCACCAAAATATTCAAATCGGTAAAAATACTGAGAAGGCATAATGTTTTAATCACATATATGTTTATATCATAAGTATAAAAAATGAACTACCCATTGAGAAACAGTTCAGGTAACAGCTATAACGAATAAAGTAAGCTCCGGCTGCAAATTTATTTCCACAGCTGGATTAACAAATGCCTGATGATCATTAACAACCGTATTTGACATAGCTGTCAAACTCGCTTTTTTTTTTCTTTTCTAAAGAAACCATAGAGCTCAATGAAACGTACTTTGTTTTTCAACAGATGTAACTGACATTTGTAACTCAGTTCGTAAGCTAAAATATATATATACTTCAACACCCACCTGTGGGTAACAGGATTCTTCTGTTGAAGTTGCATATTTTTAATCACACGTTCAAGGTTTTTAGAAAAGCGTGTGTATTGTAGCCATATCTAGAACACATCAGTACTTTGTTTCTGGAAGAATGCACAGTGAGGAAAAAACGATCTGACAGCAGACGTTACTTTACTTTCCATTTTGCAGGTGTTTTTGGGAATCATTGTGAACTGAACAGTTATGGATTTGAAGAGTTGTCGTATATGGAGTTTCCCAGTATGGATCCAAACAATAATTACATCTATATCAAGTTTGCCACTATAAAAAGACATGCCTTGATGTTGTATAACTACGATAACCAAACTGGAGAGCGGGCAGAATTTCTGGCCCTGGAAATTGTAGAAGAGAGGCTGAGGTTCTCCTACAATCTCGGCAGTGGCACATACAAGCTTACCACGGCTAAGAAGGTGTCGGATGGACAATTTCACACGGTTATTGCCCGGAGGGCTGGAATGGTAAGACATGCTAAAATGAGAATTTAAGACGAGTTCAGCCAAGAGTTCACTTTGGCTTCCACATGAACTCAGAGGAACGTAAAATTAGTAACGTTGCATTTGCTAGCAGAACCTCCAACTTTGGAAAAAACCTCCCTCGTTTTTCTGTCTGACTCCAACTGACTCAAAGACCTATAACGGTTTGTTTAGTACAATGATGATAAAGAATAATTAAAAAAACATGTGCCATGCCCTGTGCTCTAAATGAGAAAAATGAGAACCAGGGATAATTAATGAAATAAATTACTACACGTGAGGCTTAATTAACTGATGCAGATTACAGGGATGATTATCAGGGGAGGCTAACCAACCATCGGAACTACAAAAACCCTCAACATTTGGAAAGTAGAAGTGGACAAACTTAAAATTCCAGGTGTCCCTGACCTCCTTGGGCTAGTTCAGAGATTTTACCAATCTCATCAAACTGGAAGCCTGTTTTTTTTCCTAGCATACATGTAGAAATTTCATAGGTGCTACATTCAGAGGGGTTTTTTGGGGCGAAGGAGGGGAGTTACTCTTATTTTTGTCCCCCAAGAAGCACATGAGGGGAGGAATTCTGCCAAAAACTGAACTGGAAAAACCGATTGCCATATGCCTGGTACTCTGACCCCTCTCCTGCCTTCATTTTTTTTTTTTTTCCAGTAAATGTTTTCTATTCCTCTTCTCTCATTTTTTAATATTTCCAAAGCAGAACATAAACCAAATGCTCTTTGAGTTCAAGCCAAGCTTTTTGACTCCACAGTGTTTGAGTTAGAAATGAAACCAAATCTATTTGCCATCCCTAATCAGTAACTATTGCCCAACAGCTCCCTTCTCAGGCAGAAATGGCCATCAGACGTGGAATCCCATATTCTTCCCGTTTTTGCAATGAAAGTCATATAAGAATAATCGATGGTTGGGGCTCCACATTTTGTTTTATATATTTCAAGCCAGAAGCGATGTAGGGAGTAAAAGAATAAACTGTTCTACCCAGCGTGGCTCCCCCTGAGTCCTGGTAGAGATTTCCCATCACAAAATTGTTGCAGAAGGCTGAGATACAGCCCTTGCGTGTTTTTAAACTGCTCTGTTCAGAGCACTGTGCTGAAGAGCTTCAGGTCTGGGGTGAGACGTCCATAGGCACAAATTTAGGCACAGATGTCCCAAGAGCAGCAGAGGGATGTATGACCTTGTGGTTTGGGGTTCTTTGTAGGACCAGGGTTGTCTCCTGACTTTCCTAAATGGTGCTTTTTTCTTATCTCTTAAGAGAGTCTTGAGCCTGAAACTGCAATTCAGTTGCATAGTACAAGACCTAATTCCTCCTTTTATTGAAGGGGGGATGGTTTAGTCTTCAGCTGGGTTTGCAAATCTAATTTGTGTGTGTTTGTAGGAGTTATATATCCAAATAGGATAAAGGATAATTGTGATGTTGAGTAACGAGTAATGTGCCTTAATATCAGATATTTAACATTTTGCATCGCAGCTTCCAAATGGTAAAGCCCAAAGGTGCCCCTAAATCTTGAAAGGCACCAGGTTCCCATTTCAGCAACTAAATTAGTGTGATATTTCTATCAATAAGACTTAAATGGCTAAGTATAGGAGCACACATTAAGAATTGCAACAAATAAATGAAATACACTTAAGAAAAAAGTATAGCGGGAAAATGTTTTACTTGTAGATGTGCCAGAGGGCTGGACTACAGAAGAAGAGATAACATAAAAAGGACTGTTTACAGAACGTTTCAGTTATGAATGCTTCAGGCCAAAAGCAAGCATTTCAGACAACCTCTACCTTTGTGTGACTTTTTTTTTTTTTTTTTTACTGTTTAAACCTTCTCAGTAATGTCAGCTGTTTACAAACATGGTTATGTGAAAAGAATCGCCTTTGTCTTAGATATTTCTGCTGCAGGAAAAATGTCTCCCAGGTGTCCAAAACTGTATAAAATAGCCCCCCTTCAGGATTCCAAATCTGTCATTTCCTACAGCACAGTGGGATTTTATCGGAAACTGGTAAAATCATTAAGTTGTCAGTCCTGAGCTATTGCAGAGTGACAGGATAGAAAGTCTCATAATGCGGCAAGGTAACCGTAGAGTAATGCTTAAGTAACAAGCAGGAACATTTGACTAACATTAGAAAATAAATTGTATGAACTCTGGTCCAAGTAAAATATATTCTCAAATATCAGCCCTTCAGCTGGGGTTGTAGCTTGGCTTTCACAGCGCATAGCGATGTAAGTTAGGGAGATTACGCTGATTGAGCTAAGAACAAAAAACTCGTTTCATTTTTTGTTGTTGATATTCTGAAGGAAAATATGTATGCATGTGATGGCATACAGGCCAGCCAGCTTATTATTCTTTCTATGAATTGTTTCATTTATACAGGGCTATAATCTGCTTTGGAACTGCAGACTGACGGTTTTTCGGGAGAAGCAGTTTGCTCATTATGCATGGAAAGAAATTCAAGATAAGCTTTCATTAAAAATAGCAAATTGAACAATTTAGGCGTAGCGTAGGGCATGATTTAGGGCTAAAAGCTATGAATTTATTTGGTCACTACAATGCGTCAGCTCACAGTATGTATTTGGAAAGAGCGTGGACAATCTGCAGGGATTTCAGGAGGACGTTGTTAGTGAACTTAGTTGCACGCAGGAAAAAAAGCGATTACAGAGTAATGACGTACTGATAGCTGTTGCTGTTTGCTCAGCTCCTGTAGAGTAATCAAAATCAAAATAGAAACCAAGGCATTTTTAGAAGTGACTTTTGATTTAAATTTGCTGTAAAACTGTACCACACATCGAGTTGAAACATGAGAAACCGATATGTACAATTTGGAGATTATGTTTATTTTTCTGAAAATTTGTTTTAAGGGTAATGACGTACTGATAGCTGTTGCTGTTTGCTCAGCTCCTGTAGAGTAATCAAAATCAAAATAGAAACCAAGGCATTTTTAGAAGTGACTTTTGATTTAAATTTGCTGTAAAACTGTACCACACATCGAGTTGAAACATGAGAAACCGATATGTACAATTTGGAGATTATGTTTATTTTTCTGAAAATTTGTTTTAAGGAATAACTAACCTTCAGGTTTTTGGGTTGGTTTTTTTTTTTTTGCAGCGCATCTGTTATTAATAAATCACTGTGGGGAAAACTCTTTGCTAAATAAGGAATAAAATAAAAAGTCCTTTTTAAATC